TTTATTAAAGGGACCCTAACATTATAGCTGACGGCAACTAACTGCGCCGAAGAGCAGTGATCCCAGCGGAAAGTGAGCAGGCTCTTCAGCTGGTAGTAATACCTCAGACCGATGGTGCGCAAGGCCCTTCGGTTAAGGTTTAAGGGTTTAGGGTTTAGGGTTTAGGGTTTAGGGTTTAGGGTTTAGGGTTTAGGGTTTAGGGCCTTCTCGGACTTCAAAGGGCCCAAGGCCTGGGAAACCCAAAGCCCGAAGACGTTGGGTCCCAAAATCCCGGAAATTTTCCTCCCTGAAAGGGTTTATTGGGGTTTAGGGTTTAGGGCTTAGGGTTTAGGGCTTAGGATTTAGGGTTTAGGATTTAGGGTTTAGGGTTTAGGGTTTAGGGTTTAGGGCTTAGGGTTTACCTCTTGTCCTCTGAAGAGTGGTCTTAGAGTTCGGCAAAGGGTGTCGGCGCGGGATCTGGGGCCTCATGTCGAAAAGATCTTGCCCGAACTCACATGGGTGAACCTGGGCTACTGTCGGCATTGTTGGGGCTAGAAGGGTCTGAGGGCCACGGATTGACAGGTGTGGGGATTTAAGGACCCCCGCACCCCAGAGAAAAAAACACCAAGGATACTTTCCTTTATTTGCCCTTCAGGGCTCGGGCTCCAGAGGCCTTGGCAGCTTGGGGCTGTTGGGGGCTTAGCTCGAGATGGGTCCCTCTTGATATGCCCAAAAATGAAATGTTAAGAGGACCATGACTTCTCACGAACCGTCGAAACTCAAAGACCCCTCTGAAAGCCTAAACGCCGACCCGATCCTTGAAGCCGTTCAGCTCTAAACCTCCTATCTAACACACGCAAATATCCGAGACCCGAAAATCCCTGCACCCCTAAACCCTGCTGGTCCGCTTACTGTAGGGGCCTCAATAATTAAAATGGCGTTTCGGTGGTTCCTTATTATAGTTGTACTATAATTGACCCCAAAACCCTCAATAATTAAAATGGGGTTTCGGTGGTTCCTTATGATAGTTATAGTATTCTTGACCCCAAAACCCTCGTCGAATTATTCAGGCCCCTAGTCTGGAGACGCAAAACCACATTCTAAGTATTCAGGCCACAGGCCCCTATAGTAGAGTCCCAACAACCCTACTTGGAGGATCATGGGACTTAGTAAGTAAGGTTATAAGCCTCTTAATTGGGGTTATAAGTATAGTTACCCTCATTATAGTCCTAGTTTACTAAGTTCCATGATCCTTTAAGTAAACCCTAAACCCTAGACCCTAAACCCTAAACCCTAAACCCTAAACCCTAAACCCTAAACCAACAACCCTGCTTGGGACCCCCGGCTGCTCACGACGCTTGGTCCTTGGCAACACAACCAGGGCGAAGCGCGTGAGCTCCTTTGGCACTCTACGGCTCCAGGGCTTTAGAGCTTCATAGTTTTTGAGGTTTTTTTTAAGTGCAGTTTTTTGGGGTTTAGGGTTTAGGGTTTAGGGCTCCAGGGCTTTAGAGCTTCATGGGTTTTTTGATGGGATCTGATTGGGTTTCTAAGGCTTTTCCATGGCTTTGAAGGGCTTCAAAAAGCTCTTCAAAGGCGTTGTAATGCAAGAGCCTGTCATGGGATCTTCTGAAGCTTTAGAGTTTCGGGCTCCAGGGTATAGGGTGAGGCCTCTTCCTAGACGTGGGTTTTATGGCTTTCGGGGATCTGGGGTCCTCAAGGCTTCTCCGATGAAGGGGTCATGCAATGGGAATGGTTTAGGGTTTAGGGTTTAGGATTTAGGGACCGAAGGCCATGGAAAGCCCAATCCCGGAATCCGAAACAGGGCGAAAATTTCCTCGCCTTTCGCCACGGCGGCTCGAAGGCCGTGAGCTTTCGCACCTCAGTGGGCCGAAGATCAACCTTTGCTTTGAACGAGCTAGTGGGGAAGCGCTGCAACCCAAAGAGAGGGCTCCCACCTATCCACACGAATCTGACCAACTTGACAAGCATTTACTCTGACTGTCTTGCAAGCGCAAGCCCTGACCCAGATGACGAGGCCTTAATCTCTCTAGACCCCACGACGCAGTGTCAAACACCCAACCCTGAACCCTTCGAGCCAAGAACACCGTCGAATCCCAAAAGGCCAAAGCCTGCGGCCCTCTCTCCCGCAAACATCCCACTGCAGCCCGTGGGGCCCATCCTGCCGGTGAGTTCGCCTCGGTTGCCGGCTACAGGTAGCTCATTCCCCCGAAACCGCACGCGCTTCATCACGACGCCGGCACAGAGAGAGTGAGGAATGGGTTTGGCGTACAGCGTCACATGATTCAGTGGAGCTTTGGACAGGGACCCTAAACCCTAAACCCTAAACCCTAAAAGACTCGACATCTTCCTTTGTGCACTTCTCGCAGAATCGCGGATGCGAGTTCTTGGGGCTGCTGGTGTCGAACTTCGAGCAGGACTGACCGTCGGTCTCAAGGGTCCACGCAAGGCCGAGACACGGTTTAGGGTTTCGGGTTTAGGGTTTAGGGTTTAGGGTTTAGGGTGCTGAAAACCCCGAAATGATCCCAGCTGTCTTTTCGGGCTTTGTGCCAGATGCCGACAAGCTTCGGCGACCGTCACTACTGTCGGCCGAGCAATTTCCAGGCAAGCCTATCAGGGAGCGGACGCCTAACACCCGCAAACCTGATCGTCCTCATTTGCTTCACATTTGCAAGTATCAGGTTTGTCACACTCCCTTGCATGCACACCCTCTATAAGCCGCGCAATCCCAAGCGTCAACCCGGAACTACAACCCAGAAAACCGAAAACACAAAACCCTGCCCTGAACTCGGAACATACACAAACTGGCCGGTGGGGTTAGGAGCCCAAAGCCAAAGGCTTCACGTGGCTTCGGGAGGTTGGTGCAGGATCCCAGGCTTCGTTCCCTGTTGAGCAGACATGGGTTGCAAGTTGGTCCAGGGCCCGAAATTTAATGTAGGGGCCTCAAGAATTAGAATAGGGTTTTGGGGGTTCCTTAGTATAATTATAGTATAGTATACCCCCAAACCTTATTCTACTTAGTAATAATACTTATTATTATTGTTATTATTATTATTATCACTATTATTATTATTATTAAAATCATCATTATTATTATTATTATTATTATTAAGGGGCCCTGTAATGTAGGAGGCCGATTAGGGGTTTGTGGTCTTCAAGCATTCGGCAGCAGCTCTCCTTCGACGCATCGAGAATTTCGCCAACCATCCTCGGTGCTAGGGTTTAGGGTTTAGGGTTTAGGGTTTAGGGGCTGGCTGCACTGCTCCCCTCAGCGTGTCACAGTTTCGTTGCCCTCGCTATGTTCGGGCTTGCCTTCAATCTTGGAAACACACTCAGGCCATCCGAATGTTTGGCAGGTTAACGGTTCCGCCAAGAGCATCTACAAAACGCGAAAAGACGGTTGTCACAGCTTTGCTAGATATCTTCGGATTAGCGGTGGCCTTTGCAGCGCTGTGCCTCACCCTCTGCTTTCACTTGTGGAGCGAGACTTGCCGTGTTGGCAGCTTGCGGGATGCCAATTTTGGTGGTTTCAGTATGTCAGTCTCCTTAGTGTACCACAATACACTATCAGCTATTATCATATCCGGTGATATACTATAACATACTGTAGCATACGATGATATACGGCAATATACGATCATATACGCTACGGCAATGTACGCTGTAGTATACCATCTTGCTCAGATGCCCACAAACGCGCGATCCGCCACTGCGCTGTGAACTGGACCCGGCAGCCCACAGGCTGCGAGCTTCAACGGTACATGCGCACCAGCGTGTGCCACATGGCACGGACAAACTCTAATCATAGGGCTCATAGTAGTTCCTTTTTGCGGCTTATATTTAGGATCCTATTAGGGAATCCCAAAAGGAACTGCTATGGGGCCTATGGGTAGGTAAGAAGACAGGGTCTAATAATCTTGTGTAGGAGTAATGGACAGCAACGCTTCATTGATTTTGACGGTATGGGCAGTTCTTTAAGTTAGGATCCCTTTTTTGGGTCTCCAATGTAGTACGGCACGGGTATAAAGAAGGACCCCAGAAGAGACCTTAGCTTAGATCGAGAACTACCCATACAGTACCCTGAAAGAAACCCTAAATAAACCCCTATAGATCTCTTTAAGGAACCCTAAAAGGGAC